CCAGCACTGGGATCTTTGGGTCAAAGATTATGGACTTTTTAGTCACTTGCTTTATGAACATTTAGTCACTTTAGCATAATTCCAAATTGCTTTCCAGAGGGTTGGATCAGTTTACTGCTCCGTAAGTATATTAATAATGTATGCATCTTTCTACAGACCCATCAACATTGACCACTTCCATCTTTTGTCATCTTTACTGATTTGTTGCATATGAGGTGAAAACTTAGGGTTTTGATGTGCATTTCTCTTATTAATTATTTGGAGCAGTCTTTCATCTGATTGTTAATAGTTTGCAATTCTTTTGAGAACTATTTCTTCATATTCTTTGGCCACTTATTCATTGGAGGGAATAGCTTGTGGTTTCATAAAGTTCTGTTGATTCTCTATATATTTAGAATATCTGGCCTTTATCAAAAAAATTGGTACAAAATTATATCTTATTAAGCAGCATCCCTTGGCCCATCTGCATTGATTTTGTTTGTGCAAAAGCTTTTTAATTTCATTTAAACAAAATTGTTTTATCTTTTGTGATCATCTCTACCTTGTTGGGTTAAGAGCTCTCCCTCTAGCCATAACTGTATAATGTATCTGATTTTGTTCTCTTGTTTTTAAAAAAAATTTTTGTGACATCACCTTGCGTATTCAGATTACATAAACGTTTTGAACTTACTGTGATAGAAGGTGTTAAATCTTGGTCTAAACCTAATTTCTGACAAAGCATGTTCCAGTTTTCCTAGCAGTTCTTTTCAAGTACAGTGTTCTTTCCCAGGCAATTTATGTTTTTGAATTTATATAATAATACTTTATTGAGTTTGATTGTTTCTGTTTCTTGAAATATTTTTTCAGTATTTCACTTTCTCATTCCTGGAAACCAATGGGAGATATCTGTTACAGAGAATGGGTACTTGGAGACTAGAATGCTTCCGTGCACTCTTTTTTCCTAACTATCAAAATATTGCCTTACACATAGTAGGCAATAAGTGTTTGTTGAATTGTTTGTTCTCCCTCTTCCATGCAGTTTTCACAGGTTCTTTTAGCTCATGTTTATCTTGTCTTATTCCAAATCTCCTCAATATCTGTTGTTTATATAACATATTTGAAGATTTAATCGTATATTATTTTGTACTTTTAATTATTTCATGTGCCTTTGTCTAGTTGCCCTAATGAGACTATATGTATATGTGTTCATCTGTATACATATGTACACACACACACATACACACACACACACACACATACAAATACACACACACGGATGGCTTTGTAATGTCATTAGTGTGGTTATTATGTTCAGATCAAATATAAGCTTCTCTAATTGACAGTTAAAGATTTTCATAACCTAGCCCCTGCCTACATTCCCAGTCTTCTTCCACCTTACTCCCTTCCATGAACTCTGTCATCCATCTACACTGCCCTACTTTCTGTTCTCTCACACATGAAACTCTGTCTCCTGCCTTTGTATTAGCTGTCCCTCATGTCTGGCATGCTTGCCCTCTCCAGCTCTGCAGCTGGAAATTCACCTTCCCTAAGCTTCCTTAAAAGGCTCAAGACTTGATTGGGCCAGAAGACTAAGGTTTGAACTGTTGATGTAACTTTTGGGGCACCTAAGGCCTATGAGCCCAGCATAATGGTAGTCAGGGATACTTGGGCTTGACTACACTCCAGAAATCTCTACACACAGAACACACACACACACAGAAACTGAGTCTCCTTATTCTTTACACTATCCAATAACAACATGGTCCTAAGGCCATTTAAGGGGCAGTTAGGTAGAGTTCTGAGTCTGGAGTTAGGAAGACTCATCTTCCTGAGTTCAAATCTGGCCTCAGACACTAGCTGTGTAACACTGGGCACATCACTTAACCCTGTTTGCCTCAGTTTCCTCATCTGTAAAATGAACTGGAGAAGGAAATGGCAAACCATTCTAGTATCTTTGCCAAGAAAACCCCCAAATGGGGTTACAAAGAGTCAGACATGACTGAAAAGTGACTGAACAGCAGCAGCAAGGTCTATTTGAGTGATGGAAAACCCTCTATAAAACCTTTAGAATCTTGATACCAAGGGGTGGAATGTAGTGGAAACATTTCATACTAATCTGGTTGGGAATCATGATGGTAGGTCCCTGGTGTAGCTAAAAGTTCACCTAAGTATCTAAGCTTCCTTAAAAATCGGTGAAAGTAAACTGGAAACTTGATTGGTCCAGGGACTTAAGGCTTTAACTGTTTATATAACTTTCTGGCCCCTAGGGCACAAAACCAGTCAGTATTACTTAGGCTTGATAGATTTAACAATGACTTAGCAGTCAAGCACTCCCTTCTGACCTCCATTCAGTCACCCTCCTGACTAGGCATTCCTCTCATAGAGAATTGGGGGTACAGGAGCAAGGGGAATTGAGTCCAGCAAACCAACAATATACCTTTGGTGAGTATCCTTTCCATGCTATATCCATGAAAACTTCTTTTGTTGAATATTGTATGGTCTGTGAATATCTTACTTCATTCCAATCCCAAGTATGAACCACCAGACTGGTTTTAGTTGGGCCTAACCCTGAGCATTAGTTTACTTTCCTCTTTTTTAATTCTGGGTCCAGTTCATTGCCTCTTTTCCATATCTCTGCAAGATGATTTTTCCATTTGACTGTATGTTATAATCTGGATAGTAGACATTTTTTACCCATTTGATTTTCCTCTATGACTGTTTGGGACAAACTCTTTTGAGCAGTTGTTGATATCATATAGTAAGTGCTGAAGTTTTCTGGGGCTTCATGTAATCTGCACAGTGTCTCATCATCCACAAAGAGGAGCACCTCTAGAATTCCAACATCTATAATGAATCCATCTTCCATTTAGATATTACACTGGACATCCTTCATGATGGTGGCAAATATCTTTGGCGAGCTTGTTTTATGCCTCACTTCACATGTTAATCAAGACTGTCAAAGTTAGCTCTGTTTCAACTTCTGATATATATATATATATATATATGTATAGGAGAATCCTTGTTGTTGGAAAGCTATAAGGCAATGTCTTGCTCAACCCATGAGATTATATCTAGCTACAAAAACATGTACACATATATGCTTCTTGTGAGCTGGGATTGTATAACACACCTTTTTGGTAGCTCTCATAGAACTGTTCTTAGTCTTTGTCAACCCAGACCTCCAGATTGGGAGGTGCCTTGAGGCAGGGCGCTGCCTTGCCAGTGAAAAGTCAGGCAATCATGAAAGCTCAGACAGACTCAGTGACTCCTGTTCTGCCTCAGACACTTAACTCCAGGGACTCAAATCCCGCATCCATAAAGTTTTGGGGTTTGATTCAGTATGTTCTAAGGTTTCTTTCAGTTCTAAATCTATAATCCTAGGGTTATTATAAGGAAAGCACATTGAAAAAAGTTTTATTGATGTCTTTTGTTTTTATGTCACCTAAATTTTCCCCTGTATCCTTTCACCTCACTTCTCCTAGAGAGGCATCCCATATGTAAAGAATTTTTTTAAAGGAAAAGAAGGAAGAAGAAAAAACAATGAGCAAAGATGATCAATACATTAAAAAATCTGAAAATATATACAGCGTTCCACATCTGTGGACCCTTCCTCCCTACCTCTACAAAGAAAGCAGGGATGGGGAGGGAAGATCTTGTCATAGCTCTTCTTTAGGATCATGCTTGTTCTTTATACTTTTGAAGCACACTTTTTTGTGGGGCTGGGCAATGGGGTTAAGTGACTTGCCCAGGGTCACACAGCTAGTAAGTGTTATGTGTCTGAGGCCGGATTTGAACTCAGGTCCTCCTGACTCCAGGGCTGGTGCTCTATCCACTGCTCCACCTAGCTGCCCCCAAAGCATACATTTTTGATTGCTTTTGGTGGTTCTTTCCATTTACATTGTTGTAGTCACCATGTATATTGTTTTCTTGTCTCTGCTTGCTTCACTCTGCATCAGTTCATATAAGTCTTCCTGTGCTTCTCTGTATTCATCATAGTAATCATTTCTTACAGCACAGCAGTATTCCCTTTACATTCATGTGCCACAGTTGATTTATGTGTTACCCAATCAATGAACATCAACTTTATTTGCAACTCTTGCCATCGCAAAAAGTGCTGTTATAAATATTTTCTTGTAGATGTAGACTTTCTTTTTTATTAATGACCTTCTTGGGTTATATGCCCTAGGACTAGAATCTCTGGGTCAAATAGTGTGGATATTTTAGCCACTTTGTTTACATAATTCCAAATTGCTTAAGGAGCCTTTTAAAACCATGATGTGCTATAGAAAGGTGAACTCATTGCTTGACTGTGGGTTGCTGTGAATGACTTGGACTCTCACTGGACCAGCTGTGACCTGGTTTGAAACAGATGTATCCCTGGAGTTCAGCTCAGTTGCTTCGGGGGCCTAGGGGCTGACCTGCAGAGGCCTGCCCAGACTAAACAACATTACAGGAAACTCACTCTGTGCTGCATTGGTGCAACAAAATTTCTTCCAGACTGCACCAGCAGGAATTTAACTTCAGCACAAAGCAAAGCAGACACTCCATCTCCTTAGACTTTTTTTTTCGTTTGCATAAAATGTGAATAGCATACACAGTTGAGAACAGCATATAATAACCAGATTTACTCTTTCAAATTCATATCACAAAGTTATTTCAATCTTTACGGTTTCATTGGCCTATTAGAAAGCAGTTGCAGGGGGAAGTGGGATATCTGGAAATGATTGTGATGTAAAAACAAAATACATCAATAAAAATTATGAAAAAAAATGGCTAGCATTTATATGGTGCTTTAAGGTTTACAACATGCTTTACAGATATCTCATTTGATTTTTACAACAATCCTGGGAGGTAGGTGCTGTTATCGTATCCATTTAACACATGAGGAAACTGAGGCAAACAGAGGTGAAGTGATTTGCCTAGGGTCACACAGGTAAGTAAGTAAGTGTTTGAAGCTGGATTTGAACTCAGAACTTGGAAGGGAATAAACATTTATATAGCATCTGTTATATGTAAGGCACTGTGTTAAGCACTTTATAAATACTGAGTCATTTGATTCTTGGTGACTTTGTGATGGTCAGGTCCAGCTCTATCCACGGTGCCACCTAGCTGCAAAAAAAGTAAAATATTTGGAGGTAAGATTTAGGGACTTCAAGTATATGAAGAATTATAAAATATGAAAGATATGGAGTAGATACTGTCCTTTTCCACTGACGACCAGTTTTCCCTTGTGCCTTGCATAGTATCTTGAGGGATGCCTAACAAATGTTTCTAGGATTGAATTGAAATATTCCCTCCCTTTTTATGTACTGCCATCCCAGTGGGAAAATCAGTTTATCCCTTTCTTAAGACCTCAGAGCCTTGAAGGTATGAGATCATGTCTTCAAAGCACCAGGAATATCTGTCTTTTAAAAAGCAAAAGTCAAAGCTCAAAGCTTAAGCCCAGAGCCGGCCTTTCTCTTCTAATCCCACCCCAGCACCTCTGTCCCTGTTCCCATGTTTCCTGTTGAGAACAGTGGAAGGGGAAGGGGAACATCCTGACAAGCAGCCGACTGGCCGGGACGGGAGAAGGATGGGAGATGCAGAGGAAGTGTCCGTCCATGAACGGCTGTCCTTTTCTTCCCCCTTTACAGTGATGTCATGCTATCTAAATAGACTCAGAATTGAGGGAGACTTCTTGGAGGATTCCAGCTGAATTGCCTGCCTGGCTTCAGTCTCAAGAGTTCTTCAGCCAACCCTCATTTTTTATTCAGTGAGGACGTTTGCAGGAGAGGAGCCTGTGTGGTTGCAACAGTTTTTGGTGTTATTGAATCTACTTTCCTTTCTTGTGACTTATTTCTTATTGCTGTCCTCATCATGCTCTAGATGCCAGCCAGACTGGTCGATTTGCTGTTTTCCAAATCTGACACTCCATCTCCCACCTTTGTACCTTTATATGCAGGTTGCCTACCATATCTACAATTTATTTCCCCTCTCTTCTTGGAATCCTTAGCTTCTATCCATAATAACGGTAGCAATAATAGCTAGCTTTAGAGAGCACTTTAAGTTTGGCAAAGTGCTCTACAAATATCTCATTTGTTCCTCACACCAACCCGGTGAGGTAGGTGCTGTTATTATTCACATTTTACAGATGAGGAAACTGAGGCAGATAGAGGTTAAGTGACTTGCTTAGGGTCACATATCTTGGAAAAGTTTGAGGCCATGCAAAACAGGGATAGGCTCTGATGGACAGCCTCAGTGTAGTATGAGTGATAGCAAAATAGACTTGGAGTCAGTAAGATTTGAGTTCAGTTTCCATCACATACATTTACTAGCTGTGTCACTCTGATCAAGTCACCTCTTTGAGGTTTTCAAAATGGGGATGATAATAGCATCTAGTTCACGTGATTGTTGTGAGAAACAAACAACAACAATAATAGCTAGCTTCTAGCGTGATGCAATTATAGCATTACAGAATATATTATAGCATTATAGCACATATTATAGCATTATAGTATATGTTATAGCATTATAGCACATATTATAGCATTATAGTATATGTTATAGCATTATAGCACATATTATAGCATTATAGTATATGTTATAGCATTATGGCATATATCATAGCATTATGGAATATATTATAGCATTGTAGTATATGTTATAGCATTATAGCACATATTATAGCATTATAGTATATGTTATAGCATTATAGCACATATTATAGCATTATGGAATATATTATAGCATTATGTAATGCTTCTAAGGTTTGCCAAAATTATCTTATTTGATGGAACAAGACTGTGAAGTAGGTTCTATTATCACCCCCATTTTTTCAGAGGAAAACTGAGGCTCAGGTTGTTAAGTGTCAAGAGAATTTGAACCCAAGTCTTTCTGAACTCTATGTCTCACACAAGATAAGCTGTGAGTCTGTAACGGTAACAATAATAATAATAATAATAATTTCTCCCTCCCACTTGGCTCTCTATGTGTGGCTGTTCCTTAGCTTTGTTTCGTGCCTAAAGCCCAAGACTCTAATGTCCTTCCTCTTTGTGTATTTTATTTCTGTTTGGAGTTTGGCTTGTTTACTTTATATTGGAGTCTCCAGGGATTGAGCTGAATGCAATATCCATCCTGTTAACCCACTCCTTCCTTCTTCTAGCCCAAGGCTGGTTTTTTATGGACTCTAACCTTGCAAACAGGTCTATACACCCCCTCATGCGGTCCTTAGTTTGAATTACTTGTGTACTGACAGTAAGAAAAATGTGCTTTAAATTATTCTTAACCCAGATTAGTCCCCAGGTTTTCCCGTTAACTTTTTATTGTTGGTTTTTTAAAACCATATTTCAATAGAATGAATCAACAGTGTTTTACTTGGAACCTAAAGGATATCCCTTTCATGTGCAGCTTGTTTGGCAGCCTAACTTTGAGCCAAGCCTGAATCTGTGATTTCACGGAGAGGTGGGAAGGTTGGAAGTGGGCTGGTAGTCCTTCACCTGAAAAAAGTTACAAACCTTCTTCATCTTTTCCCTCATCAGACTTCCCATTTTCTCCATCAAAAATTTGTCCTGTATTCTCTTAGGTCACCCATCCAAGGGGTCAGCCAGCTGATTAAACAAAATAGCCCATGTTAATGGAGAATATCTCCATTGTGCTTTTGAGGTTGACACAAGGCACAGCTGGAAAAAACTCTGGGAGGGTTGATAGTGTTAGAATTCTTATCCTCATTTTACAGATGGGGGAACTGAGCCTTTGAGAGGTTGTTACTTGCCCAAAGTCACCAACAGGTATCACAAGACAGAGGAAGGACCAATTGGCTCTGGAATCAGAGACCTGAGTCCAACTCTGCCCCTGCTGTTATCTCTGTGACCTTGGGCAAATCACTTAACCTTCTGTGGCTTTAGCTTAGTCACCTGTAAAATGAGGGGTTTAAGCTAGAGGTCCTCCAAGGTCTCTTTCACTTCAAAATCTATGATCCTTCGAATGTATCTGGCTGCTAGGTGGCTCAGTGGCTAGAGCATCGGGCTTGGAGTCAGTAAGACTCATCTTCCCGAGTTCAAATCTGGCCTCAGACACTTACTAGCTGCGTGATCCTGGGCAAGTCACTTAACCCTGTTGGCCTTAGTTTCTTCATTTGTAAAATGAGTTGGAGAAGGAAATGGCAAACCATTCTATTATCTCTGCCAAGAAAACCCCAAATGGGATCTTGGAGAATTGGGTATGACTGAAACAACTAAACAACACATGATCATATCTAGGAAGCAACAGAACCAAGACTCGAACCCAGGTCTTCTGACTTCATGGATATTGAGTGTCTTTCAGTGATTTATTTCAGATGTAGAAGAGGAAGAAGGCTGCCTTTAATTGATGGAGGTGAGGGCTGGGGGAGGAGGCCAGATTAGATTTTGCTGCTTTTGGCTATAGGCCATCAAAGAAGAATGATAGTGAAACTGATATTTAGAAATGTAGAAGGATGTTGGTGGTGAAGCAGTGTGTAAGGCAGAAAAAAAACAAGGAAATGGGAAACCCTTGAATGAGAAGTGTTCATTTAGGTGGCATAGATTAGTTGCTTAGAATTAGATTAAGGAGGTTTGATAACTTCTAATAGTTCTGCTGCACTTCGACCGTTTACATACGGCAGAGAACCCCAAATCTGATGGGCATGTACAATGAAAATAAATATTCATTTCCAACTGCACACCTACTTTTCCATGGGAATTGACAAAAAGGAGCAGAGGAATCATGCCCATTGTCTGGCAAAGTCTTTCTGGAACAGCAGTTCAGATAGTCAGTTCCATTGAGTGGTGGGGCAGTGATAGGCATGAGCTGATGGGAGGAGAAAGAAAGAACTTGTTGATGGTATTTATATTTGGACCACAACTGCATTCTAGCATCCACAGTGCCTTGCCCCTCCCCTCTACAGGAGAACATTGCAAGGCAGGAGGGGATTACTGTACAATCTCAGAGGTAACCTGAGCCCATCTAATCCAAGCCCCTAAAGGAGGTAGAGACCTCTTCTGGAACATCTGTGATTTGTCCAGCCTGTTTGAACACACTTCCTCACAAAGTATCCCTTATTATCAGACCCTGCATCAATCTCTAAATTCCAACCTGTAGTAAGCTGCAAAAGGCACCATCTCCATTTATACCTGTCTTACAAAAATGTAGCCTATTCCTTACACCTGTGCTGACCTGTTTCCATCTCTTCCTGTTTACATCCTACCACTCCTTCAAAGCCAAGGTCAAATGCCAACTCCTTTATCAAGCCTTCCCTAATCAATAAACATTTATTAAGTTTCCACTATGTGCCAGGTAGTATGCTAGTGCTAGGTATACAGAGACAAAAGAAAAACAGGCCCTGTCCTCAAGGAAATTATATTCTGTCTGTGTGTGTATACATATGGATATACATATACATAAAATAAATACAAGATAATTTGGTGGAGGCAAATATATAATATGTAAGTGTATATAAATTATATAATTATACTAAAAAACAATATTATCATATTACAGGGAAATATATTTCCCTCTAGGGAGGCTAGAGGGAATGGGAAAGGCTTCATGTAGAAATTGGCATTTGTACTAAGTATTGAAGGAAAGTAGGAATTCTAAGACATACAGGTCAGGAAAGAGTGTGTGTTCCAAGCATGGAAGACAGCCAGTATAAAGACATGGAGATGGGAGATTGGAGTTTTTTTGGGGGGAGGGAATGGGGGAGGTAGTAATGTCCAATGAGGCTGGAAAATGGGTTGGGACTAGGTTGTGGAGGGCTTTAAAAGCTAAACAGAGGAGTTTATATTTAATAAATGATCTATTCTTAGTTGACTCGATTGTTTTTAGAATAAAAATAATGTGAATGGGAGAGCTGAGCCCCCATTTTGTTTCATGGTTTTTGAGATGACCACTTGGACCTGGGTGGTGCTGTTTTTCTTTTTCAAAGTTTTGTTATTACCCTTTGTTTTCACACCACAGTCAATTTCCTCTTAATGCCCTCTCCTCATCCCCCTTTGAACTCTCCCTTGTAACAAAAGAATTTAAGCCAAATCAATTGTATCATTTTACACATCAATAGTCTCTTATTTCTGTATTGAGAAGAGATAAGTATATTTCATCACTGTTTGCTTATTATAATTAGCATTCATATGCCTTTTAGTGTTGTTTTAATTTACATTATTGGCAATGCATTTTGTTCTCTTTGTTCTGGTACATAGTAAGCACTACACAAATGCTTCTCTCCCTTGCATTCCCCTTTTATTAGTTTATGAGAGTCTTTTCATGTTTCTTTGAGTTTTTCTTGCAGCAAATTAGGCTCTTTTCCTGACTGTGAGACCCCATTTATCCTTTCTAAACCATAGCTCATCAGGCACCACACGTGGGTTTTACATTTTACCAGTCATTCAAATGATACATACTCGTTCATAGCAAAGGCATTTTAATTAAAAAGCAATGTAAATAAAGTAATAATAGACTATCTCTCTCCCTTCTATAATAAATCCTGAGCCCACTTTTTCTTAAATAAATATAGTCAGTGGGAAGAGTCTGTATCCTAGATAGGAATTATGTGTGGGATAGCCATATGTTTTGAACAGATGGGCATCCACATGTGAAGGGATGCACGCCCAAGGAATACATGGGACCAGCGAGCATATTTGGCATAGCAACCGATGCCTGTGATGCTGCAGTGATTCCATATGTTCTGTTAATATCATCCTGTTGCCTTCTGCCTGTGCCTGTTCCTTTGTCAAGTGCTATTTTCCACCAGATGCTGATGTCTGCTGCTTCCTGTCGCATGTTGCTTTCACCCCAACTGGTCATCAGCTCTGACCCTTTTCAAGGTCACCTGTACAAAGGCTACTGGGGATGCTGTGGTTATAGCTCCTTCATCAGCTCTTTTAGCTACCTTTACCACATTGCCCAACAGTACAAGGCAGCCTGGTCTCTTTCTCTGACTTCTGCATTCATGTTAATTGTCTCTTACAGTGAAATCATATTCTGTTGTAATGTACTAATATTTCATTATATTCAAAATCTACAATTTGTTGAATATTAGTCAATGGATGTACTCATTGCGTTTCCAGGATTTTTGCTACCACAAAAGAATCCTTATAAATGTTTTTGCATATGTAGTACCTTTCCGCCTGTTTTTTATCCCCTTTGGGATATTTGCTCAGTAGTGGGATCACTGAGTCAAAGGATATGAACTCTTTGGTGATTTTTTTTGCATAATTGTAAATTGTTTTCCAGAATGGTTGGACCAATTTAGGATTTTACCAACAGTGTATCAGTGTGTCACACTATATAACAAGATAAGCTCAAAATGGGTACATGACTTAGGTGTAATAGGTAATATCATAAGGAAATTATTAGTAGAAAATGGAAGAAATTACCTGTTAGATCTATGGATAGGGGCAGAGTTCATGACCAAACAAGGGGTAGAGAGGTTCATAGAAGGTAAAATGGATAATTTTGATTACATTAAATTTACAGGTTTTGCATAAACAAAACCAATGCAGGTAAAATTAGAAGAGCAGGAAACTGGGGGAAAATCTTTACATCCAGGTTCTCTAATAAAGGTCTGAATTCTAAGATATACAGGGAAATGAATTAAATTTATAAGAAAAAGAGCCATTTCCCTTCCTCCCTCCTTCCTTCTTTCCTTCCTTCTTCCCTCCTTTCCTCCTTCCCTCTCTTCCTTCCCTCCACAGTAGGCATTCTTTGTCTGCTTGATTAGAGTGAACTCTTTTGAGTGATTTAGGGTTTCATATAGGAGGTTTTGAAGATGTAATGTAATCAGCACATCATTCATAAACAAGATCACCTGGAAGGTCTTACCCCCTATACTAGGAGTTCTTGGATTTTTTGTGTGTCACAAACCCTTTTATCCATCTGGTGAAACCTGTGGAATCCTCAGAATAAGTTTTATAAATACATGAAACAAAATACACAGGATTACAAAGAAAACCAATTATATTGACATACATGTAAACTCTCTCCCATTGATTTAGATCCAAGCTGCTACGTCTTCTCAGATTTCATTTGAGGGGAGGGTTCTTTTCTCTACTGCATTAGGCTCAAACACCCACCAGCTATGTCACACACCTCCCTCCCCCCATTGTTGAGTAACAGTGACTACTGCCCCAGTTTCATTTAGCTACTTAACATTAGTAAGCTTTTACAAAGGATATCTACTTTAAAGATAGAGCAAGAACAAAGTGTATCTATTTTCTCCCAACACTTCAGGGACACACTCAGTCTTAGCTCGGTCCTACATAGCATTGATCTCACTGAGGTCACATCCAGATGTGGCATAACTTCTGGATAAGTCCTCTTCTCAGCTCCTGCTGGGCTAGATGCTAAAGGTCATCCGCAAAGGTCCCTCAGTTCTGTTCTGGACATTGATACTTTGCTAGCTTCAAAACCCAAACTCTGTAATACTGGGGCCCTCTGAACACCTGCTGGACCTTTCAAAATTCACAAGATCAGAGACCAAGAATAAAAACAGAGGATAATGACTGAGGCCCTTTCTTGGGGCAATATGGCCTGAGGGGAGAAGGCCTCTCTCCTTAAAATATGGTCTGTCACTGGACACTGTGAGCAAAGAAGTCACCAAGAGCATCTCTGAGGCAGAGACCCTAGGCTGAGGCTGAATTAGCCTTTTGCCCCTGGCTCCTACTGTGAATAGCTCTGGGCTACCCAGGGTAGAGCTCTGGGCTTGGAGTCAAATCTGGCTTCAGACACTTAACCATCTATATGGCCCTGGGCAAGTCATTTGACCCTGTTTGCCTCAGTTTCCTCATATATAGAATGAGCTGGAGAAGGAAATGGCAAACCACTCCAGTATCTTTGTCAAGAAAATGCCAAATGGGATCACAAAGGTCACATGTGACTGAAAATGACTGAATAATAAAAAATATTCCATTACATTCATAGGCCATATTTTTTTTACCTTGCTCTCAGTTGTTGGACACATATTTTGTTTCTAGTTTTTTGTTATTAAAGTAATGCCAAATATGAACATTTTTGTGCAAGGGTTTGTTTTCCCCTTTTGATCATTTCCTTGGGATGTAAAGTAGTCTCAGTAATGGGATCTTTGACTCAAAGGGTATGAACAGTTTAGTAACTTTTCTTGCTTACAAAGTCCTCTGAAAGTCTTCCAGAGCTGAGCTATTTAAAGCCACTCAGAGATGACTAATTTGTTTGCGTAGGCAATTTTATTTCTTCCCTTCTTGACTCAGTCAGAGAGGTGTCGGAGTATACATTTCTACATTTCTAATACATTTCTACAGTGAGATTATCACTTCATTAACACCTTGTAGTTACATTCTGTGCCTTCTGTAGGATTGGTGCGGGGGTATCCCTCTCTTACAGGTTCTAAGAACAATTAAAAAATCTCATTTTTAAAACTCATTTGGGGGAAATGAGCAGTATCAGTGAAGGAATAGGACTCCAGATCAAGATGGATAGTACAGTGTTAACAGATGATAGAGAAGGCAGAACTACTCAACTCTTGTTTTGTTTCTATTTTCATTGCTAAGGATCCTTAAGAACACAATAAAAATGGTTAATGGGGAGTTGGAGCCCAAGTTAAGTAAGGGCAGAGTAAAAGAACATTTATCTGTCTTTGTTGAGTTCAAGTCACTAAGCCCAGAGGAACTACAAGCCAGAGTACTGAAAGAACTGATGGAATGATACAATTATTGAACCTCTTAATTCCCTCTAAAGGATTTTGTAACATGAGAGAGGTGCCACAGGGCTGGAAAAGGACAAATCTCTTGATTTTCAAAAATAGGATTAGGGTAAAGTCTGCAAAACCTGAGTCTTGATTCCTGACAAAATTCTATACCAAAGGGATGGTCTGTGGAAATATAGAAAAGGAAAGTGTGGTCAACAAACATCATCTTGATTTGATCAAGAGCAGGTCAGGCCAAACTAACCCTCTTTCAGTAGATCAAGGGAATGCTATAGCTTTACTTTGACTCTAGTATAATATTTGAGAGAATCATTCACGCTGTCCTTGTGGAAAAAATGGAAAGATGGTGGCCAGATTAGAATAGAGTTAGGTGGTTTTCTCATTGATTGAATGATTTGGTCATTAATGGATAGATATTTGGTTGGAGAGAGGTTTTTAGTGTGGTTCCCCAGATATCTGCCCATTGCCCTTTGGTGTTCATCATTTTTATGAGTGACTTGAATGAGGGCAAAGGTGGGATATTCATCATATTTGCAGATGACACAAAACAGCAGGATAGGAGACAATTCAGAGGACAGAATCAGGTTCCAGAAAAGCTCTTAAGGCTTGACTCATGGGCCAAGTCAAATAAAATGAAACCTAATGGAGAATAATTGTAATATTCACAAATAGAATCACAAATGTATGGGAACGTAAGCTTTGGATTTGGGTGGTAAGTTTCCTTTAAACAAAGAAAAGAGAATTCATTTTTTCCATGTAACTGACAATATTAGTGAAAACAGATGTTTGAATGACTTCCAGCAAGTACCCAGAGTCCTTTTCCAGATGTTTTCCACCCAAATACAGGTTTCTGCTAGTGAATAGGTTTGCAATCTGATTTTTCATTCTTAAATTCTACCTGGTGCCATGAAATGTCTCTCCTATAGCTGCCTTAATATATAATGTATAAAGATTATATTTATAACTAATGTTTATTTCATTTTTCTGAGCTTTTCTTTTTCCAAATCAGATGCTTTTTGGAAGAGGTCTTGTCAGATTCATGTGGAGATGATGGGTTATTGTAAAAACAATGACAAAAGCTTTGTGAAAAATTCTTTCTATAATACTGGATTATTAATTAGTCTTATCAATTCTCTCACTGTTTTTATAAACTCTTGTGAATGCTTCTATTTTGTTTGCTTTGAGAGTAGCATGGATGTGATAATACTGTTAGAATTTCTTCAATAATTGGCGTGGGTTATCTTTAAGCTATATACCTTGCTGGATTTGATAGTACCAAATGCTTGACACTAATACTGAGCTCTCCCTAATGTGGTGTATTAGATCTAAGCTTTGCAGGGGTCCATGGGGCTTCAATGGTCAAATGACTGGGCTGAGGGCTGAGCACCACCTAGTGTTAAAATAAAGAGACCTGAGATGCTTACATATGATCAGCCTTCATATCCTGCCAATAATACCATTGACTGTTGCCATTCCCTTTACAATGTGACTCCTTTTCCCTTTTCAAGGTGGCCCATGACCTTTGCTTTAGGGAAGGGAGGGAGAAGGGAATAAGCATTTATAGAGTGCCTACTATGTAATAAAATATTGTCTCATTTGATCCTCACAACAATCCTGTGAGGTAGATGCTGTTTATCCTCATTTTACAGTTGAGGAAACTGAGGTAGACAGAGGTTAAGTGACTTGCTCAGGGTCACTCAGCTAGGAAGTGACTGAGGCCAGATTTGAACTTCAATCTTCCTGACTCAAGACCCAGTGCTTCCTCCACTGTGCCACCTACCTGCCTCAATTTAGCCAGATTTCACATATATGAGAATATAAAGTGGTCTGATTTGCTTGGTCAGCTTTTACCTTGGCAGAAACCTGTTAAGAGAGGGCATCAGTAGTAGAGAGTGCTACATAGAGCTTAGCATCTGTTGTTCAGTCATTTTTCAGTCATGCCTAACTCTTCGTGAGCCCATATGGGGTTTTCTTGGCAAAGATACTGGAGTGGTTCGCCATTTACTTCTCTAGCTCATTTGACAGATGAGGAAACTGAGGCAAACAGAGTTAAGTGATTTGCCCATGGTCACACAGCTAGGTCAAATTTGAACTCAAGTCTTCCTGACTCTAGGCCCCTATCCACTGTGCCACCTAGTTGTCCATTTATCATCTAGTCTTCTACAAAATCTCTAAAGGTCTAAGATTTGGCCTGGTTGATTTCTGTAATAAACATTGGTCGATGTTTGAGCTAAAATGTAATCTTTAAGTTATGTTTTATAAAATTTCTTAGCTTGGAGAAGAGGCAGGTATAAAATGGCATCCTTCCTAATTATTATCTGAGCTCATGGGAGTTAGCTTGCAGAGAGATGGGCAGAAATAGCATGCATATGTCTGGATCTACCTAGACTTCTCTTCCTTCACAGCCTTTTCTGTTCTGACTTCCCGCTGGAACGCTGAAAAGAAACATGGAATCCTGTAGAAGACTTTCTAAACAGGGAATAGATGTCAGGAGGTTGACAAAGAAGGCTTTATGTGTCTTTCTTCCTCAGACTTGGAGAATTTGGCCCAGCCAGCTTCAAGGGGACAAAGGGAAGGACAAAGGCACAGTTTCTGCCTAACAGCTGTGGCGTGATGAATGGGGAAGGAAGAGGACAAATCAAGTTGGGCTGAATGATTAGGGCCAAAGTTAAAACATTTTTCTTTGGCTTCCCTTAGTACCATATCTAGAAAGAGGTCTTGCTCCTGAAGGCATTTTTCTAAATTCAACATAAATTGTCCCCAGGTCAGGGAGTACAAGAACAAGCAGAGGTCCAGCTGGGTTAGTTACTCTGGGACTGGGCTTCCTCTTTTGTACTTGTATGTTTGAGATACTTTGTATCTCTTGCTTCCTGAAGTCCTAAATTTGGTCTCTTTTCTATGCAGATACAAAGCCTTATAGGATCATAGGTTTTTAACCTGGGGTACTTTATTATTTTATTTTTTCCAATTACATGTAAAGATAGTTTTCAACATTCATTTTTTATAAGATTTTAAGTTCCAAATTCCCCCCCCCTTTCTCCTCCCTCCTCCCCAAGATATTGATTATACATGTGCAGTCATTAACATTTGTTTTTAAAAATTTTGAGTTCCAAATTCTCTCTCTCCCTCCTTCCCTGGCCCCCCTCATTGAGAAAGCAAGCAATTTGATATAGGTTATATGTGTGCAGTCAAGCAAAACATTTCCATATTAGTCATGTTGTGAAAGAAAACACAGAACCCCCCGAAAAGCCCCCAAGAAAAATAAAGAAAATTAAAATAAAGTATGCTTAAATCTGCATTCAGATTCCATTAGTTTTTTCTCTGGAGGTGGATAGCATTTTTCATCATAAGTCCTTT